CGATGAAAGCATATGTATGTCGCCGCTAGACGTCCATAATGGATGATGGATTCCAGCAAGTAGCCTTTGCCTCCATAGATCTTTAAAGCTAACGAGTTAGATATGGTCAGCTTTCTTCGCAGATGCGAGAGATGATGGGCAAATTTAGCACCATACAAAGCTTATTATGATCGTGCTGTATATTTTTATATGATTGACGGACATACTGCATTCCAAATCTCATATGGAGTTTAAGCATCTACAATACCGATTAAAAATTAGGCTCGCAACTTTTTTCTTTCTCCAAAAAGTGAATCCAACTCAAAATTCAAGCTCGAATTGGACAAGCGAATATAGCTTGATTATTTCTGTACATTAGTCTAATAAAATAACGTTTCAGTCATATTGAAAAATCTTTCAATAGGTTTATTTTTCTATATATTTATATCAGGGCATAATGCCAATACATGTTTAGTGTTAATCACAAAATAATTTTCAAATCTAAACTATGTTTTTTAGCTGTATCTCTTTCAAAATATATCATATTATACGCTAATCAACATCAAAGAACACAAATTGACATATTCTATCACGAGGGTACTAAAATTTCTTTTCAACTATCAATGTGACTTTATGAAAATTTTGAATATAAGAGAAGATGCATAATTAAAACCAAACTCATTGAACCTGCTTGTGCTTCAAAGAACCTAACTGCTAGCATCAGTGAATGATCCACTAAATCCATAATCTTCTAGATTTATTTTAGAAAGCTGTACTGAAAGTGAAACTTAATTGAACTCTTCCACTTCACCCAACTAATCCTAAGCATTGTCTCGAATTTAACAATCTACTTTGTACATTGGCTCTGCTTGTTGTATCTGCTCATGCAAGCACACAACTATCTACCTAGAAATGATGCTACATATTTTTTGCACATAATTATGTATCAAAAATGTGAATGTGAAAATGTGTTTCAAATGATGGTTCTATAACAAATAATCTCTATAATTAATATATAAAAAGAGAGGTCGATATCCATTTTTGTGGATGTTGTCATAGGAAAGCGTGTCTATGTTTTCAAGCACCAATTAAATTACTTTGCAGAAAAAAAATTACCTTGTAAAAACATCCTCATCTCAACACTTAGGCTATCTAATTCACGATTGATACTTAGTAGCAATTTATGCAATAACTCTCTCACATCATAAAAAATAGGATCTTTTACACTTATTTTACACTTATCTTTTACACAATCTTCACTTATGAAAAAACGTAATTAGTTGAATTCTAGAAGTCTTGTCTTTTTGCAACATGGTTTATTTTTTTGCCAAACCATTACTCTGAAGATGATCTATTGAGGTGATACATTAATCTATCAACACCATAATACTTAAAGTTTACAATGTATCCATAAATCGAAAGTCTTATATTTTTGTATACACAACCAGTTTGATCTTGCTTCAAATGAATCAAGCTTAGATTCTTAAAATGCATATATAACTATTTGATCTTATTTTCCATTAAGTCATCAATTGAATACACCTGGAGAAATACTTCAATTTTAAGAAAAATACAACAGATGATTTTATCTATGAATTGATGATTATATATTTAGTGAAATTTGAAAAAAATCATTCTTCCATAATTCTCAATTTTTGCAATTAACATGCAATTTTTTTTGAGTTGTTAACAAATAAAGAATTATCTCCTCAAGATGATTTTGCTTAAATTTGGCTAAAATTTATATTTTAGTATTCAAACCTCTAGCTAGTCTACGCGTGTTTTGGGCGTATGAAAACCCAACAATATCAATTCTTATTTACTATGCTCTTCAAAATGAATGAGTAATAGCAAAACTGATGACATATTTGCATTTTGAAAAACACATACATCTTATCATAAATAACATTGTATGATGTGCGATTTGACAGGACTTCGTATCGGAATTACTCTACTGGTTCTAATGCTTTTTGTACTTTTGTACTTCTTCATCGCAGGGATATTAATATCGAGATCCTGTAGTACTGCGAAGAAATCAGGCTTATTTTATTTAGCACAAGGGGTACCTACTGATGTATTCCACCGACATCATCGAGGGCGATCGTGCCAGTGGGAGAGTTAGGGAAGTCGAGGAACACCAACAGGACCAGATTAGCAAAACTTTCGGACAGGAAGGTTCCGTGCAAGTGTCATGATGCCATGCAAGCAACGGCATATAGATCACAGTGGACAGCTGTTGGGAGAGAGTCCAGGCCAGAGCGACATACATTTGTGCAAATGGAGGTTAAAGAAGCGAACCAGGTGGTAATCTACAGATACAATTGGAAGTCGCAACCTCTACCTGTACAAAGTGTGTTTCCTAATTCAACCATGATTGGGATCAGTCAAAATTACAATACTGCACCTACTTTGAGAAAGAACAGCATCAACACAGAACGAAACTTAAGCTAATGTTGAACCATTGTACGAATCATTCAGTGTCTGGGAAGCAATATTAGTTTTTTTACTTGGAAGTAATTCCACGTGATTTTGGTCTTGTTGATCTGATCTCCTTGTGAGTCAAGAAACGAAATCAAGAGAAAAACACCTGATGCGGTCAAACGGGGGGTCGTAGCCCTTTCTCTCTTTTGGTTTCATCCATAAACGGCTTGTTCCATCCGCTTCGCTACAAATGTTTCTCCACACGCTTTAATATATCGAGTAGTTGAAAGCATTTCAACTACTCGCTCTCAAGTAGTTGAAGTCTAACTCAATCATTGAAGTTCGACTAAATTGAAGGAAAAGACGAAGTTGGGTTCATAGGGAAGGAGGGAACAACTGTTGAGCTTCCAAACTGTCTGAAACCTGTTTTGACTTGCCCTCGCCATGCCTTTTTAATTGGGGGCTCTCCGATGGGTATTTCCCATCTTTTCACCATAATATTACGGATTTATGGTCAAAAACAAACCGACGGAAGGAAACTTTTAGTATTCAGTATTCGCTTATCGACTGTGAAAATCTGCGGAAACCTTTCGAGGTAACTTTCCGAGACGGGAAGTAAAGCTACACTCAGGATAAATAAAGCGGAGTGCATGTCGAGCATCAGCAATACGACTGATGTGTGACGTGAGCATCAGCAAACCGTTTCTCTTAGAGTCCTGAGATTCGGGTCGTTCTCCACCCTACTCGTGTCTGCCCGCCCGATGTCCAGGCCAGGCTTCGCCTCGTCCTCGTACTCCTCGTTCCGTTCCGTTGGCTCCACAGCTCAGCTTCACTGAATCTTCCATCACCTCCGCCACAGTGGGCTTTCTCTTCATGAGTCAGTCTCAAGATCGCTATTATGGGTTCTGGACTCGGCTACAGCATCCGGCATTGAAAATAGATGCACACTCTCGGATGCCGGCCCACCGACCTGGTCACACAGTCACCCCTGCCACGGGAAAGCACCCCACCCCGCGACACAGTGGACAACCGCAAATAGACCAGAAAATGGTGCCGGCATCAGCCGTCCAAGACCCAACGTATGGCAAAACGGTTCGCGGTGAAATAGGCAAAGAAAGGAAAAGACGGTAAATCGTCCTGAATCGTCTTGACTGTGGTAATCTGAAATTGTCCCGACTGTGGTAAGCAAGTAACTATAGCGTAGCCGTAGGGTTCGGCACTGAGCGATGAGGGGTCAGTTAATCGGAGACTTCATGCGTGTGCATGCGCCACGGTACAATACATTGATGGCGACGGGGCGACATAACAGAGGTGTATGGGGTCATATGCATGAATGCATGGTGGCATGATGGATGGGGCGCAGGTAGTTGCTAGCTAGCAAGTGAGTGAAGGCCTGAGTTCCTTTTACTTTCTCTTGGTCGCGCAAATCGCCCATTGCCGTTCTCTCGAACGAGGGCCGAAAATGTAGACGACATCGCGGGTGTTGTTATAGTCCGTGTATCTATTCCGAGCCGGAGCACACCATCGTAGACTTTGACTGACTAGACATTGTATGCACGTCGTTGTAATATTACACAGTGTGTGCGTGAGAGTGACGACTCGGAACTACGATTGGAGGCCCAAAGTTTTTTTTCGGTTCATGTCCATGAACTCTTTCAAGATCAAGAGGCATGCCCCAGGCCTTCCCGTATTGCAATACGTACATTTGACGTATCAGAAAATATACGTCTATGGAAATAAAGCATTAAGTAGGTTCGATCAACACGAAAATGAAAGCTTAAAACCCAGAACAGACTAGAGCAGAATCTCCAAGTGTCAAAGAAAACCAAAAAAATCCCTTCATAAATTGAAAGTGTAATTTTTCCACCTAGCGATGGCCAATTTTAAAAAGTTTTATTTCCTCCCTTATCCCACAATCTGTAACTGTAAAATATACATATAAATCTGTGTATACATACATGCATGCCTCGTATAGAAAATGCGAATCAGGGAGCATGCCTAATTCTCCCTTCTTCCTTTACTGTACTTCTTCCTCACATTCCTTCACCTCAGGGGCTTCGGAAATTCATTGCCCGCAGGGAAGAGGCTACAAGAGTTGGGTCTTATTTAGTCCGCTTCTACCGCACCTCTCCAACCTCTCACTACGTGGTTGTTTACGTTGCGACCAGTCATCGCGTCTCGAAATCGCCTTCGCCACTTTGCAAATCCACGTCAGCCGACTCATACTCCACGTCAGACTATGGTCGCAAGAATCGCAAACATTGATCGTTGTCCTCTCCAAGTTACTGGGATACCTCATAATTTGCGGTGACCTACTGTGCGGTGGGCGGCTTTCGCGTTTTGGCCCTTTCCTAATTTGTCCATACTCAATTAGGCATGCCCCCGTGCCCTCGCCCGGGGGAATTCGCTTTGAGGGTTGTGCCTCCAACTACTCGGAGCCCTCCATCCCTACGGCTGCTACTGCCCGCCTGCCCGCCTTCCTGCCTCGGGCTTCCGGGAGGCGACGTCGACCTCCGACGTCCGGCCAGACGTCGTCGGACCGAAGTCAAAGTCGCTGTGGTAGAGAGTGGTTTTAAGGCGCCCATGTGCACTTCGACTGGGATGGTTGCAGTCATGGGAACAGATTCTTGCTTATTATCCCTCTCCGGTTGTGATAGAGAAGAAGAGAACACGGGATTCGAGCTCTCGTCTCGCTCTTCCTCGTTAGGTGGCGTGGTCGGGAGGCGTGATGTGGGAAGCAGGCGAGGCTGTCGTCAGCTCAGCAGTCACTCGCTAAACTTTCATCGTCAAGCCTCGTAGAAGTGGGGAGCTGCGTGTTGCATCTTTGGCAGCTGACTAGGAGCTGTCTTTCCTGGCTCTCTTTCGATGATTGTCCGCGGGAAGCACAAGAGAGGAGGAGGAGGAGACGGCTTGGCAGAGTCGCATTGACGGTGCGTACTCTGGAAGCTCAGGCTTCTTAGAAAATTTTCTCTTTACTGTAAAGAAGAGAAAATGATTATCCCGAAGGATGGAGTGACAGACATGAGTATGATCACGGAGGAGCAGAATAGCGTCGAGCCGTTGGTAGCGGGGACATTTCAACGCTCCGTGATAGTAGACGTCAGTAATCCTCGACTCGCAGAAACGGGAGAGCATCAGAGGCCGTGGAAGAAGTCGAGAGCTACGAGCTCGGCGGAATCTGCAGAGGAGACTCCTCTTCCCATCGAGATGGTGGAGCATATCGTGGGGATGATGCCCTTTCCCTCAATTCTCACTGCACGCCTGTTGAACAGGTCGTTCAAGAGCTTGTTTTCCGAGCAATCGAAGAATGCTCGATTCCGCGAGATTGTGAAGTCAGTTAGCAGCACATGGAACCAGTACTGTCCAGTAATACTCAACAGAGACGCAGAGTGGTTGATGGGTTATGATCGCGTCAACCATCGCTGGCAGAAGATGGCCCTAGGAATCGCCCGCAGAAATTATGTGGGTTTAGGGTCGCCCTGGATCGCCGCCCAAAAACTCAAAGGCGCTGGTTGCCTCATTTGTGGCCTCTCGTTGGGCTTATTTGTCTGCAATGTGTTCACGAAAGGCTGGAGGTGGCTGCCATCTCGGCCCAACGACGAATCTCCCAAGGATCTGTTTATTATTCCGGACGGCCCCGATGCCTATAAAATCCTGACGATCACGCTCCTCCGGCCACTCCAATCGGGCAAAGTGTGCGCCCAATTGTACGACTCGAAGACCGATTCGTGGAGCATGCAGATTTCCAACGCCAACTTCACTCTGTCCTTCAACAGCAGCAGCGTGTACGTGAACGGACTTGTGTATTACATGCAGTACGACGAGGACGACGACAGACAAGTGATGAGATTGTGCTTCTACAACGTCAGCGAAGCGACCTGGCACGCCATTCCACACCCTTTCGCGTGTATGCTGCACACCATCGAAACGTATGAGCTGCTGATGTTCCAGAATAGGGCTATGGTGGTCATGCAGTTGATTCCTTTCCACAATCCCGCCAGTCGAGCGGTACGTAGAAACACCTTGATCGTGTTCAGTATCGACCCGATTTCGAAAGAAATCAAGGAGGAGGCGAGAGGCCCTGCTTATACCATGCACGGTGCATCGTCTACCCTATTCACCAGTGACGACGAATCGATTTACTTCGGAGACCCTCAGACGGTTAAGAGCTCCGTGGTCGCGCTTAATGTGCACAAGCGAGAGTGGAGCTGTCTTCGTCGACCATTGTGCACGGACGGATCGTTCCAAAACAAATGGGTCACCTTTGCCTTTCAGCCTGGAATGAACCCTTTCGTTGCAGTTTAATTATTTTTCTGTCTTCCACGACACCATTACACAGCAGCTACTGTCAGCAATGTACCTTTATCGCGGAGAACATTTCTCATGCGCAAGCATGATAAATGTGCAAAATTACATTTGTATATATGAAGTTGGCAGTTCCAATTGTCAAGATCGCCTGAACTGGCGAAGGCTCACTTTAGACCACATTTGTATGGGACATCTGCTGTTCTTTGATCCCGAAGTTGTTTTGAGCTTCGAGAGCATAGTTCTTTCTGATACTCTGTCGACAGGAGCACGAGCCACACCTGTTGTCTCCATCTCTTGGCGGAAGTGATTCCGTGCTAAGCAGATGGGTGATGTGAAAAACCCCATGGCTCTTTCCATTCTTTATAATACTGCTTACCCCGACCACGACATAGTGTAGCTTAATAGTGGTCAGGTCAGCCCGATCACTGGAATCTTCTCAGTGAGTCCAACAGTTGGAGCAGCATTTGTACAAATTAGTCTTAGGATATTCGTTTGCCTTTCGGCTTGTATTCAGACAAAGAACAGATTTTGCGTTGAAGCCTAACCGAAGTGTTGCTAGAGAGGAAAGGCAAGATTTTAGTACACCTGTTCAACAGAATACGAAATGTAAGTGTAAGATTTGAAAGTCTAGCTATTTAGGTGAGCAAGCGGAGGAGGTATCATGCTATTCCATGTACTGAGTCCACTAAAACATAATCGATCAAGACAAACGCAACTTTTGACCTAATTAATGACTGCGACCATGGCATTTGACTCATCTATGTTTCATCTTGAACCTTGACTGGATGCCTGTCATGGAGTCGCTTTCGATTCTTCAGCTCTTTCAGCTTTTGCCGGGCCTATCTTACAGAGATTGCCTCGTCCTAAAAAGAGAGGTGATATACTTTTGAAATGAGGATCCAAATCAACATAGAGATCTGCAAATCTTCGTGAACTGAACCGAACACTGCAATTGACAGTGGGAGTTTCTCCAGCATTCCATATCTTGCTTCAAGAACATGCAAACCTGTGGTAAAAAGCAGAGTCTGGCAAAATAGGATGAAAGAGCATTGAGGAATGTGAACCAAGAGAAGGTCCTCGTTAATTAATAGATGTTGTGAGGCCAGAAATCTCCCGTCCACTCCGGGAGCAGGGCTTCTGGTCGTTTGACTCTAATGAACATGTGCAAGATTGTGTGAACAAAGTCAAAAGTTAAAGCAATTGGTGAAAGGTACACTGGTATGAAGATCACTGTGTCCCTCATGTTTTGCACTTTACGGACTTCGATGAGACCTGAAAGCTTTACCAAAGCTTTACCAAATTCTCCAGAATCTGAAAGTTAAGGCAGTCATATAGGACATACGGGTCCTAGAATTTGGATCGTTATGCTAAGGGCTCAGGCTATTATATAGAATTCTAAAGTCAGGAATGTTATCATATCTCATGAAGCCACGCAATCATTGTCGAAGAACGAACACAATGATCATATGTTTAGCGAGGTGTGACTTTGCTATTATTGGACTACTGTAGAATAGAAACCAAACAGTGAATACATTTTTCCTCGCATCTTTTCTTTGTACACAGCATTCTGGAGTACACGAGGGGATTGGAAGTCAATTTGTTTAGCATTAGAATCAAATAACCTATCAATCCAAATAGGGTGTTGCATATGGATGCCAAGATCTCCTTTAAGAAAACCTGTGTATATCTCATGCTACTTAGACGTTGCATTTGCCTAAGCTTTATTGCCCATTAATCACAATTTTTAATCAGAGATTTCACATGTTAACTTTGATTTGCTACAGTGTTTTTCTTCATTACAATGAGTTGATTACTGTTATTACGTTTCAGTTTTAATCATCTCTAGTTGATTAGAATTAAAATATAATTTACCAAAGATGGTGTTGATTTAATGATATAATAATATTAACAATATGATAAATAATTTATTCATAATTATAAAATTGATAATTTATATTTTTGATAGGTAGAAATCATGATATATTAATTGAAATTAATAAAAAAATTCTATCAATCATAACAATATTGATGCCAATAAGTGATACAATCACATCATAAATTCTCAAGGAGTTGGATGGACGGTGGTAATGATGATACATCTTGTCCTATCTCTTCGAAACATCTATATAAAAAAGAGCTAAAAACGTATAGAGTGTTCTTTCATATTTCAAAATTTGTTTTATAGATGGTAGATACTTCATTTATTCTTGTTCAATATTACACCCAATTACATTCTTATTAAATATAAATATGTTTATTAACAATATCATTCATATGACGTCATTGAATTGACAACTTGGACTCCGAGACGTGAGTTTCTACATATGATAATATTTTGTAGCAATTTGATATAACGAGACGTTTTTCAATCAATGAATGTGTATTTATGTATGTATAAAATCAATGAAACTTGTAACATTTTCCTAAATGGTTGAAATTTTTGACAACTTTAGTATTTTTTGCAGTGTGATTTTAAAATTACACATTCTTGAAAGTTTTTCACGATAGTGGATACTTTTATTTATGCTTATAGTTATTTTTATGTCACACAAAAAGTTATTTTAGCTCCAACTTTTTATAACATGAACAATATTTTTTTTGATTCTCAATTGAACTAGAATTTTATATTTTATCTTGATGGAATTGAGGTTTCAACAAGCTTTACGTGCACTCTGCATCAATCTAATCAATTCATTTATTAGGAGATTTTTGGTGAATAAAATATGTGGTTCTTAGTTCAACTATGTACACTTTGAAAGATTGACTTACATCAATATTTAATACAAAGTTGATGAATTGGCTTTATTCACCTATAGTGTTGTTGCTCATTTGTAGAAGTACAATATTTTAGATCTTGAAGTGATTCATATGTGCAATAACACATTTGGAAGACCCAACTATAATAGCTATCTATAATTTAAAAATGAATATACAATGAAAAAAATAAAATAATTAACTATAATGTCATCGCAAGCATCACATTCATAATGTCTACATGCATAATTATCTTTTTGGTTGTTGGATTCTTATGTTTTGCTCCGAAGACCAATACGCAGACTCTTATGTTTTTATTACTTCAAAATTGCTACCTAGTGTTTTATCAAGAGCACTAGTTAATTGACTGAACATCAAACAGCTTCCACTTTAGGTGATATGCAGTAAATGAATTCTTGTGTACAGACTCTTTGGACCTAATAAATCAGATTTATTAGATACTACCTCACATATTCTTCTATTCTTCTATGTCATACTATCGGGGCATAGTTTGTGTTACAATTTTGTTTGTTATCTTTTCGGCATAATTTTTTCACGTCATTTCTTGCTATCCAACTTAGCCATAAGAGCCTTACATTGTTACTAGAATGGTTATGTAAATAACCATTCTAGTAACAATGTAAGGCTGCAATATATATTATGGTAGTAGTATCAACTACGTCTGTTTCATGCTGCAATACATATAAAAGAATATCTATTTGAATGATGGGGATGGATAGTAATCATGAAAATATGAGCATGTTTTCAACTGCGTCAACTAATAATTGTATCGTACATATTATGGCTGCTTACTGTTTTGTAGATCAAAGAAATGTCTTTTCGTGCTTGGGAAAGCCGTCCAAGTTTAAAGGAATGTACTTGATGCTCTTCCGAAGAGATATAACTAATCTCGGAATTCTCTTGATTCCGTTTTGTTGTAGACATAGATTTCTATCAGGTGAAGCCGATACAGATGAACGCTTCTTCTACTTCTAGATGAAAAATTTCGAGCATTCCATTGATTGCAAGCAATCAAGTGTTCCACACAAGAAATCATTTGCAGACGATGAAGAATTGCGTGGAAGTGAAACTGGCTGTATCGCACACCACAAGAAACATGATGTCTGGGTATCTTGACTATATTTTGATCTATCAAAGCATTTGAGTTGTAATCATCACCACGGAGCACTCCAGAGTAAGAGACCATCTCTTACAACAAAAAACCCAACTTAGTAAAATAAATTCTAATTGACCATGGCGGATTAAAGCCACAGAGTTGTGATCGTCGCGATTCGCTCGATTCACAGTAATCTCGTAAGTATGATATGTGTGAACGAAGATAACAATTTATTTATTCGTGCATTTTACGGATTGAAGGGCACACTTCATACACAATTAATTCGCGCATTGACATCTTTGACAAAGGAGAAAAGAGAAAAGCATAGGAAGACATGACCGACAATGTCATTTTCAAAAACAGTTTTGGACTTGAGGAAAATGCAGGGGTGTATTACATGAACAAATCAAAAGATTAAACTTTCCATTATAATCATGACATCTCCTAGACAAACATGTCATTGGAGTGTTTGCCAAAATTTCGGTTTGATTACCGATAATAATTTATTTTGTCTCATCATCAAATCATGAACGAAAAGTATTTCAGAAGCAAAGATTTTATTTCGATTTTCTCGTCGTACATTAATATATGTTTTATCCAGATCCAGAAAGCTCCACTCTAGCCAACACCGAACGTCCCAGCTCCTGACGGGAACCGTCCTGTGCTTGGTCATCTCGCCTCCGGTATCCAGTCCAGTCGTCATATACAGTGTCACAAGGGCTGACGTCAACCCCACGAGTTACGAGCCTCCATTGAAACCACGAACGAATCACAACAAGGACCGTGGTTCGAGAGCATAAACCGGAAACCGTTTGTTGCCAAGTTCTTGAAATCAGGGTATTGCTCTCTAGATCCCAACGTATCTTAGTGCCGAAGGTGCGCTCCGACAACAGCTAAACGTGATAATCAATTTCGATAAGACAATAGTATAGGTGTTACATTTGAGCCTAATTAGGTGGAAATCTTTTGGGCGACAAGGTCAAAATGTGCAGTTAAGTAATATCATTATTTGTGACACCTGTCGCCGAGAATTTGGCCATAGCGGCCCAAAATTGAGGAAGAGCCGAATATCGTCAGACTTGATACAAAAGAAAGCTGGGGTAGGGTCTAAATCCAGATAAAACTGAGATTTGATATTTCAGAGACTGCGACTAGGCGGCGAAGACATGTTTCCTGAAAAAGATATGCTAGTGAGGTTTTGCGGAATTTGCGAATTTACGTTCGAGCCTGCATTTGTGGTGCCCGTTAGTCAGAGGCTGATGGGCTCTTGGTGATTAGTACCTCGAATGGCGTGGACGGTGGAGGCCATTTCTCATGAGATAATTGAAGATATCGAAACTGTTGGATAAGAGTTGCAAAACATGCAAAATTTGTCGGTTTTCATGCATGGGTTCCTATCTTCATCAATGAGCCGATTAGAAGGGTTCCACTTGTAAGTTAGTGACTCACAGCATAAGTTGGGTAATTGCAGTATTCGTTAGAGGATGTTTAGGATGTAAGAGTGTTATGGCTAGTGAGTGCTTCAAACCACATTCAAATGTCCATCATGTTGTCTGTAGAAGATGTATAAAACAATTTTAAGGCAATATTTCTTCTCTTACACGGTAAGCCCGCTGCACGGGGGTTTGAATGAGTAGCCGCAGTTTCTAACGAGAAAGGGCCTGCGTGGTTATACACCTGTTTGCAGATGCCAGAGAAAGCTGATAGCTCTTTGGATGCTCAGGCTGTTGTAATTTCAGGCGTTTCCAACATCTGCAGGGAGACGAAAATATACTTGTGCTTTCCTTTTAGGGAGATGAAACTGCCTTCTGCAGTCAAGCGAATCAACAGGGGAGAGAGAGAGTAAGGTGGATA